TTAGTTATATAGTTTTTTTTTTATTTTTGTTGTTAATGCACTGTCGATTGCACCTATAATTGAAGTGACATTATCTGCCATGAACTTTGTCAATTGTTCAATGTTTTGTATCGATGTCACTTTGTTGGTGCAACTTAATAAATAAATAAATAAAAATAAATAAATTATAAAAAAATCACCAAATCGAGCAACACAAGTGACTTAGCACAGTGACAGGAATCACTATGTTAAAATGTCTTAATACCGTTCAACAAAAGTTCTGTTTAGATCTTGAAATTAAAATTAAAATATTGTTATAATTAAAATTTCATCTAAGTATTTTTTTACGGCCTCAGTAAGGGATATTTTGATCCGGTCGGCTTTGAGTGCAATCTACGCTGAGCTCAAAGGCTCTGAGGTGATTTTTCAAAGCTCGTGCGACGGACTGTCAATTAAAATGTAAATTGCTCTCTGCTTGACAGACGTGTGTGAGAAGCTTTACGTAATTACGGAGTGTGCATTTTTTCATGGGCCAGCAATGGCGGACGAAATCTTGAAGGCTACATTCGGACATAAATAATATAAATGTGGGGTTTTCTATTCAGGTTGGGCCATTTTATTACGTCCTTCTTAATCTATGTAATTAAAATATAAACATCTTACGTCTTCAGAGTCACACCGCGTCTGCTGCTGTCGCGTCCGGCAAATAAACCCCTCCCACTTAAAAAATAAAACTATGTGTTCAGCATTCATTCGCCGTCTTTCTTACTTCCTAACACGACATCTCCTATCTCTCTCACTCAGTCATGCGCCATATCTGTTTTCCATCCATACCGCTCTGTTCCGTTCCTACATAAGCATTCATATTTATCGTGAACAGGATCATTGTAAGCCAGCACCATATACCAAAATTCTGCATGATGGAAAGTTAGGACACCCATAATGCAAATATTGACAATTCCATTTTAATTTTCGTGGACGGTGCCAAACATTTTATGTTGTATAAGGCTCTCATAATTCTTTAATGTTACGTGAGAACTCGTATTTACTTTTATTGACAGCCCTAACGAAATTTCATTTGTAAAACATAGGTTTATATCTGTAGGTTAGGGTAGCCACACTATTGTGGCTGAGTATGATGTGAATTTCACGCCGAACGCATAATTGAGCAATTTTTTTTTATTTTATTGCTTAGATGCTTGGACGAGCTCACAGCCCACCTGGTGTTAAGTGGTTACTGGAGCCCATAGACATCTACGACGTAAATAAAAAGTCAACTGTTTAAAAAGCACTGGAATAAGAATTTAAATCGGGACGTTGGATTTACCTATCGCTACAGAAAGAGGTAGGGCTGTATGAAGCCGTACATACATACGAGTAAGTTGAACTCACTAGTGTCATAGACGGATGATAGGAAAAAAGAATTGTGCGGCATCTCGAGGTAAATAAAATTGTGCACTTATATTATTTTATTCTTCTTAACCGTTTCACTTTCAGTCTGGGAAGGAGCAGATTTGAGGTATCTTACGATGTCCCACCATCTCTCCCTGGTCTCTATCATCTATACTAATATATTATCGCACATACGGTGCTATAAAGTCACTTATGCAGTTTTTGTTAAAACTGAATTGAGTATAAGAAAATACATTTTTTAATAGTTATCAGTGAGATGTTTACTTTTACTAATTTTTAAGTTTTAGTTTAAATAGGTATTATCGTTTTTATTTTTTTAGTCTAGCAGAACTATATACCTATATAACGTTGGATTTTTCAACGTTTCTCCTGAAAAATTACATAATTTTCATAAGTGACGTTAGCGCATCGTATGTGCGATATCTGCAGTAGTTTTACGGAAGTTTCGTTATAACTACTGAACTATGCATCCGATTGACTTGAAACTTGGTAACATATAGAAAATACTTAATGAATAGGCTAATATTTATATGAGTGTTGGACTTCCTACACCAGTACCGGTGCCAGTGCGGGGGCATTAATTATGAGAATCTTTGTGGGGGTGAGAAATAATAATATTAATTTTAAATGCCCAGTGAAGCGTAGCTGTACCCAGTTAGTTTATTTATAAATCCTCCCAAATATTTTCATAGTATTTACAATTGAGTGAGTGAGTGAGTGGTTACCACTGCTCAGAGACATTAGCAATATTATGGACAGAGCCAAGCCGCTGTCTAACGCCAAAAAATGAATGCCGAGCTTTATCATTTAAACATTTTCTTGGATTGTTACCGACCGATTCGCGTGTATTTTCTTATTCTTGGTGTTGACTTCTAGACTATAATTTAAAGACTAATAAAAAAATCCTTGATATACATGGTGCTTCGCTGCAAAAATGATAGGAATCATCTTAAGGAATATGGTTGCTTCGCTGCAAAAATGTAAGGAATCATCATAAGGAATTCAATAAAATTTGTGAATTTTGCGCGTTTAATTTTTTATTTCGTGGGTATGCCTTCATCATGGAAGCCATTCATAGGGACGTCTTTGTTAAAAATATGGTGAATCTGACTACATCTGCTGTCTCACCCAATAGGAGATGACGACTTTGGATAAATCACGTTGAAACCGATTACCAATCCCACCTTAAGCCACTTTTTTTTTTTTATAGCTTAGATGCGTGGACGAGCTCACAGCCCACCTGTTGTTAAGTGGTTACTGGAGCCCATAGACATCTACAATGTAAATGCGCCACCCACCTTGAGATATAAGTTGTAAGGTCTCAGTATAGTTACAACGGCTGCCCCACTCTTCAAACCGAAACGCATTACTGCTTCACGGCAGAAATAGGCAGGGCGGTGGTACCTACCCGTGCGGACTCACAAGAGGTCCTACCACCAGTTATAGACCACCAGTTATACATTATATACTAATGTGAAATCCGTTCACGAACGTCCACAAAACTTATGAAAGCTTATGGTTTGCAGCTTTTAACGAATAGCCTAAGCCAACAATGACCCGAATTGCGATTACATTTCTGAATGATTCGTCTACGCGTGCATTGAAAACGTAACAGATTACTGTCAGTTTATTTATTATGTGTTTATCCCCAAAGAGGATTCGGCTTAAAACAACGGATTAAATTCTACGGTGAGTTCACTGGTGTTTTTTTTATTTTTCTTTATTGCTTAGATGGGTGGGCGAGCTCACAGCACACCTTGCGTCAAGTGGTTACTGGAGCCCATAGACATCTACAACGTAAATGAGCCACCCACCTTGAAATATAAGTTCTAAAGTCCCAGTTTAGTTACAACGGCTGCCCTGCCCTTCAAACCGAAACGCATTACTGCTTCACGGCAGAAATAGGCAGGGTACTATATAGATGGACGAGCTCGCAGCCTGTCTGGTGTTAAGTGGTTACCAAAACCCATAGACATCTACGATGTAGATGCCGCCACACACCTTGAGATACAAGTTCTAAGGTCTCAAGTATAGTTACAACGGCTGCCCCGCCCTTCAAACCGAAACGCATTACTGCTTCACGGCAGAAATAGGTAGGGTGGTAGTACCTACCCGTACGGACTCACAAGAGGTCCTACAACTAGTAATAATAGTGTTAAAATATTTCGCATTGTTTTTACACTAACTAACTCGAAATACGGATATTTTATTTTTGTGCCGTAACGCTCCGTAAAATTATTGATCCTCTGTTAATAGTGACTTCATACGCGATGTACACTGAAAGGTTTTACACTCATAAATAAAACGATTTTGCTAGAATGAGGTGATTCTCTCCGAAAGCGATTTGAACACAAGTAGTGCAATTTTGCGGAGAGATTGAACTTTTAAAGTCCCGTTCCCAAAATATTCTTGCATTAATTCTGTTTTATCTACGGATATTTTAAAAATTTAATGTTTTTTTTTTTATATTTCTAAAAGAGCGTTCCAGATTCAACCGTTAATGATAAATTTCAAGCTGTACCATGTAGAAGTAGCTGTACCACCTTCAAACCTGTATTCCAGTACATTAATTAAACATTGTCTGTCCGAAAAAAAAATCTGTGTCTCTAACCCGAACATTAAAAGAGGACAAGCAATCCATCAATATTGTAACAGTACGCAGCCATAGCGTAAACACAAAGTGCCTTGTGCTAAGCTTTGGAAACGAAATCTGAAAGCAGACTCAATGAAAGAATTGCTCCTCATTCCAATGCCACTCTGCCTATTTCTGCCGTGAAGCGTAATGCGTTTCGGATTGAAGGGTGGGCCAACCGTTCTAACTATACTGAGACCTTAGAACTTAAATTTCAAGACGGGTGGCGCATTTGCTTTGTAAATGTGTATAGGCTCCAGTAACCACTTAACACCAGGTGGGCTGTAAGCTCGTCCACCCATTTAAGCAATAAAAAAAATAAAAACCATGTCTCGAGGTCCAAAATTTCATTCACCTTGCAGTTTCTATTCGTTTTGATAAATCCATTCTTATCGTTGTTCACTGCCCAAAAATACGAGGGTAGTTCATTCGAAAGATATACTACGTAGCAAAAAAAAAATTTTTATTGCCTTTGTACGCCTACGAGCGCACGGCCCACCCGATGGTGAGTGGTTACCGTCGCCCATGGACTTAACAATACCAGGGGTAGAGCCAAGCCGCTGCCTACCGCTTAATACTCTCCACAAGCCTCGTTTGAAGAAGGGCATGTCATAGCGCTCGGGAAACACCGTGGAGGGGAGCTCATTCCATAGCCGGATGGTACGTGGCAATATCTTTAGAATCGTAATACCGTTAGATTTATGATCGGGAATCCATAAGTCTGCTTACAAGCTGTAAATCCGCAACCCATATTATGCACTTTATCGCTAAAGTACTTCTCACTTCGGGACATTAGACTAACGTCTCGAGTATATTGATACAGCGACTACCCTACCCTTCAAACTGTGATCCATAATACTACGCAATTAAAATAGGATACTTGGTGGTACTTGCCCGCATAAGGTCGTAACAACCCCAAATATGCACACCCTATTAGTGCTTATGAACTAGGGGACACTGATTAAAATGAACTCACCCACAGCGAAGAGGACGATGAGGACTGCCACGGCCCAGGAGCACATCGTGACGTCACTTTTTAGTTTCAACGATCACATGTCTCAATCTTGGCGATACTCAGCTCACATCACAGCAGTTCCTAGAAAGGATGAAATCATTATAGTCATAAAAAAAAAACAAAAAATTCAACACTTTTTTAAGTAGTTGTATCTGGTTAAAGGAATAAAACTATAATAATACCATCAGTCTTTAATGATAGCACACCCTTAAGTTAATAGGACGTCTTGAAGTTAGTGAAAATTAAATTAAAAAAATTCGTTAAATGCATTATCTCTGCACCACCCTATGGTCGACTGGAAGAGAATGCCCATGGCATTAAGTCCGCCTGTGTACAAGTTTTTGTTTTGTGCATAAAGTATAAATAAATAAATAAATGGATAAATATTCAAGTAACGCACGTGGTCATCTTGCTGCAAACTAGGAATCGCTAGGCTATGTGGGGAACCAGCTACTAATATGAATATAAGCTTAAACAATACATAGATAAGTAGATACAGGTCGAATAAATTATTTTATAAAAAAAAATCATTGGATCAATTAAATACGACCTAAGTCTTATTTACTCTGTTACTTAATTCAGTCAAAAATAATTACGCTGTGCTTTGAATATCGGTGATTCTATAAATTTTTACCGTGTAGTTTCCAAATAAAAAATTAATTCTTACACCTTGTGCCGACAATTACGAACGCAAATCTGTTCTTAAATGACACTCAAAAAGGAATACAGATACAGATACAGGAATACAGATAAATACACATAATTAATTTTTATTATTAGAGATTTTGCTCTGCTTAATTTTTGATATTATATTCTCATTGGTATAATGAGAAAAATAAAGCTATAATTTAGTTAAGAGTTTAAAATAGTGACCGTGCAAATGAGTCAAACCCACCGTTTTGATACCAAAAGCGGATTTGATTATTCAATGGCCACTTGACTTGCACATTCCTTCTCATCAGCCGTACATAGATATACATCCGTATACATATTGGTATCCGCTATTTTAGTTTCATCTACAAATCTTCGTTGACAAAAACTGTATTATATATTATATAAAAATGAATTGCTGTTAGTCTCGCTAGAACTCGAGAACGGCTTGACCGATTTGGCTAATTTTGGTCTTGAATTATTTGTAGAAGTCCAGAAAAGGTTTAAAAGCTACGAATAAATTATTTATTCGTAGTTTAAAAGGTGGATAACTATGAAAATTCTCGGAATTAAATAAAAATAGCAATTTTGTTTTTCCTTTGATGTGTCCCCCCCCCCCCCGTCGGACGAATTCTTTTGTTTGTTTTAAGCTTATTTTATATAAAAGTTTAGGTCTTTTATTGATTGAAGCACTACGAAATCTGCCGGGTCAGCTAGTCTATAATATTTTATGTTACTTTTAAAGCAAATAACAAGGACCTTTCGACATCAAGCAATTGTGTAACAAAGCTGTTCGCTTCCTGGCTACTGAAATTTCTGAGCGCAATTTCAAATTCAAACACCACTATCAGCAATTTTAACTTTTATGTTCAGAGATATTCTTCAGTTCGGATAGAAATTTCCAGAATTTCTACCAGCATTTAATTGTAGATGATTTTTTTTTGTGAGAAAGATAATCTTAATACGAATTAATTCCCTTTGAATATTAAATGAAGACTGAAATTTGAAATACTGAAATAGGCCTATTATGTTATAATAATATGAAGAGATCCAATCACAGCTAAGCTAGACGACAGTATATTTACACTTGAGAATCTTGCTTGTTAGAACTTGAAAGCTATTAATGTTAAATACATATAAGAGTAGATAACAACTAAAGAGTTAAAATTCTCATATAGTATTTTGTGTACAATTAGAACTGAAAAAGCTTTCAGCAAGGAACGAATTTAATTAAATAGCTTTGCTGCTCAACTATAATCATTCGCTCGATAAGGAAGTTCTTTTCAAAGCATTGAGGTTTATGGCCATAGCGTTAGACCCGCCAGTTCACACTGTGTATTGTCAATAGTGATGCGCTAATCCCATTTAGGGTATAATTGATCATGAAGATCGACGGTATGAGTCAACTGATTTGATACTTAAGATCTTACTTTGATACTTTGATCTTACTTTGATACTTAATTGATACTTAAGATCGAAGAATTTAAGATGCTTAAAAAATCAAGTACATCTTGAAATTAATGAAATATAAACGAAACATAAATCTTCCATTACCTAAACGAAATAAGACAGGGATTCCCTTCACATTCGCATAAAGTTATGAATGTTCCACTCCATAAATTTCAAAGTCGTAAAACAAGCTAGGAGTAAAATTAAGCCGGGACTCTCTTATCCAGGAAAACCTGATTAGGGCGTAAACAGAAGGAAGGTTATGGCGACTGCTCGGTTATAGACGTTAGGCAGAAGTTTTGCGTTTTCATGATATTCTTGGGCGATAGTTGGAGATTTTTGAAATCACATAATATGGATTTTTTTTTTTTTAAAACATGCTATTTTTTATATAATGCTAATAATTATGTAAAAAATCATCGTAGTATAAATAAGGCACCAGGTTAATTCGTATCAAGCGATGCTACTGGTGCGGTGTTTGAATCTCAGAGACAGGTATCAAATTTTCATGGAATTTGTACGTCCTTAACAAACGCCCACGAATGACTACTACAGTCAAGCAATAATATCTTTTAACGAAAATCAAACTCACAAAGGTTATAATTTTCACAATTGGTAGTACTAGTACGTCTTGTGACCAGTAGATACCACCACCCTATCTACTTCTGCCGTGAAGCAGTAATGCGTTTCGGTTTGAATAGTAGAATAACCGTACTGTGAAACTTAAAACTCAAGTCTCTAGGTGAGTGGTGGCATTTGCGCTGTTCTTATTTATGGGCTCCGGTAATTGAACAACAACCAGGCGGGCCGTGAGCTCGTCTATCTAACCAAATAAAGGAATAATTTTGTCATTAAAACACGCTTAATGGATTTAATGAAGGAACTAGTGAACTAATGAAGATCTATTAGGAAAATAAATGTAATTGAAATTTAAATGCGTTGATGGACTTTATTAAAACGTTCTTCAAGGTTTCAGTAGTCATAGAATATAAGTGCATTTGTGATACCTATTTCATGTTTGCAAAAACTAAAGAAACTTAAAGATGTTTTTATACGAACGTCGCGACCGCAACGTGTTTGCGATCAGTCTGCAAAAGGCCTTACCCGGCCGACTCTGCAGCGCAGCCGTTTATCAACGCTCTGACGTTCTTTTAAAAACTCGTCACTAAGATTTATCGGTGCGGGGGGAGCTTTATCCTTGAGAATTTTCATAATTGCTTTGCTCACTGAGAAGTTTTTCACTGTAAACAAGAGACTAAATACAAAAATATACATTCGAATATTTTCTTTATCCATTGAATCCTGTTATTTTTACCGCTTTATGGGTCATGGTCGATTATACCTATATACATATATATATTTTTAGTTTGTTGTTTTTCAGATACTTACTTACTTTTTGGCCTATGGATCATAGTTGAGTACAATAAATACGATTCGAACAAAAAGAGAAATTAGGTATTTACAGTAAAACTTTTGGGCTACTGGAGGATATTTTACTTGGCAAACAAACAGTGCTGTCAACCTTTATCCTAACTTCCTTATCTTTTAACCTTAATCTTATCTGACCTAACTGATCGCTATATAGGAGTATTTAGCAATTTTAGCCTACAGTTGTCGGCCCAAAAAAGTACATCTACTTATTCACAATAAGCTTCCAGACGTTTAGGGGCAGGCAGTCACTATTGAGAAAAAAACTTGCTATTATTTGAGGTGTCGTAGCATCCAAACTTGACTACTTATATATTTAAAATTGTTGTTTGTACTAGGCTAAGAGATAAACTGAAATGGTATGATTTTTTTATTAAAAAACCTTCGGCTTAACCTAATATTGAGGGTCAGGGGCATAGTTGGCTCCCGCTTTTTAAAATAACAAATTCAGGTACCATTTGAAAGACTAACCATTTATTTGTAGTTGTTCGAACAAAAATAATTTCAGTGTTTTATAGGAATAATTAAAAATGTACTAGATGCTTTAAGTTTTGATTATTTTATTATTATAAAAAACCGATAACAGAATCGGAGATTGAGAATCGATAAATACAATATACTAACATCTGTAGCTTACCTCTAACTGAAACTCTACTCAATGGCACTGATTACAAAAACCATTTTTGCTATTCATGGATAAATACATTAACATGATTTGAATAAATACATCACAACATTTACATAGTCACTTGAGCCGGGAAATCAGAATCTCAATTTTATTGTACACTGCGTCTCAGCCGAACTACGTAAATTGGTGCTACCAATTTTTATTACTGGTGGTAGGACCTCTTGTGAGTCCGCGCGGGTGGGTACCACCACCTTGCCTATTTCTGCCATGAAGCAGTAATGCGTTTCGGTTTGAAGGGTGTGGCAGCCGTTGTAACTATACTTGAGACCTTAGAACTTATATCTCAAGATGGGTGGCGCATTTACGTTGTGGATGTCTATGAGCTCCAGTAACCACTTAACACCAGGTGGGCTGTGAGCTCGTCAACCCATCTAAGTAATAAAAAAAAAAAGCCCTCTTGAACCAGTTAAATTAGTCGTTATCTTTGAAAACGAAAGCTCTGCTTTGAAAAACCTCGAAAACTTTTGGTCACGGATTTTAATTAATCTACTCTACTATATACCACCGCTTGCTTCAAGCTGATCGCGTGCACCGAAGAAACTACCGGTCCTAATTACGGATGTATCAGGCGTCCAACATAAATCTTGGCAGGTTCATTGGTTAGCTTGAATACACAATGGAGGCTTCGCCGCTAATTAGAGGTCCGAATATTCTATGGGGCTGAGTGATTTGTGCCTTCCTTGGGTACGATTTGTAAGTTATCCGAACAGCAGATAGAGTTTATTGAGTTCAACTGTCGCTTGGATACGTTTTTTTAATTACCATAAATTTTGGGCGAATTAGGGGTAGAATGGGGACAAATCTGGGATTTTCTGTGCGGCCTTAGTACTTAGTACGTTTATTATTAAACCATGAATAAAACGGT